TGAATGTTAACATATTGGTTATAGTTATGAAGAAAAATAATTTCCCATGGATAACCGCGGATACCCAAAACCCGAACGGGTTATGGTGCATGGTTTTAATTTTCTACCCGTTTCACATGTGGGTATGGTATGGGTAAAACCCGAACTACTTTGGGTAGGGTAACGGATATGCACTATCCGTCCCGACCCGACCCATTGCCATCCCTAGATGGGACAGAGACATTCATTCTGAGAACTGCATGGACTAGAATCTGAGGAGTTTAACATTTATTACAACCAATCAACATCTAAAATGTGAGTGTGCATTGTTTGAATCTAAGGGTTTTCCATGCAAACATATGCTTACAATCATAAAAAATAAGGGATTTACAACACTACCCTCCACGTGGTTCAAACTTCGATGGACCCAAAATGCAAAGTCAGTATCTCGTAATCTTGGAGTTGGAGGTGATGTGACAGAGGAAAGTTGGTCGACTGATAAGACATGGGCGATTATCACTAAAGTGTAAGCGTTTCTGTGACATCGCGTGTGGTGGTGAATCTGTTTTTAATCATGTCTCATAAGGCGTTGGATGACCTTACTCAATGGGGCAATGAGTTATTGGGGGAGAGAATGGATACCACTGCACCTCCAAACCCTCCAACACCCCTTCCAAGTGTGAAAGACCCAAAAACTGTGAAAACAAGGAAACATTCAAATCAACACGAAGTGCATCGGGCAAAAGCTTAAGAAAGTGTTCAAAATGTGGGAAATATGGTCATTTTCTCCTTAAGTGTCCGAAACAAAGTCCCGAAGAAAGAGCATAAATTTCTTGTACTGTTTTAGGACTTTATCTTTTAAACTATGATTGTAGTGTTTTATTTTCGCAATTATGTATTTTCAAATTATCTTCATAATAAGCATGTGTTATTTGGTGGTTTAAATTAATTGGAATAAAGAAAACGGTCGACCTGATAGATGACCAGGTCGACCAGCCTAGAAAAGGTCCGACTGCGTCCTTGTTCGCCTGACTAAACCGGATCTTATCTCAAAATCCACTCAAATCCTATCCTCCTACCCCTTTTACTTCACTATTCAACAACCTCCTCCACTTATTTTCTATTTTCACCTCTTTCTTCTTTTCTCTCCTTTCCCTTCTTCTTCTTCCACCAAAAACCTAGAAGAAGAACCAAAACCTCTCAGTTGTTGATAAGAAGAATAATATGTGTTTCTCATATGCTCTTGTCATTTGGGTTAGTTTTTGTTCGTTCATGTTAGATTAGATTGTTTTTACCAAACCCCCATAGCTGTAAAAATTGGATTTTTGCCTGCTGTTCACCAAAATCGGCCGAACGCATCCTTTCACTGGTCAACCAGTTTTGTTTGAAATCAGATGATGATTTGTTACGATTTGATATGAAATCTCCAAAATAAGCAGGTTTTCTCTTTGTAAATAGGTCGACCTTCTTCATCCATGGTCAGCCGATATTGTTTGGTGTTTTGTAAGATGATTCAAATCTACAAAATTAGTGTTCTTTTGTGTTCGCCAGAATCGGTCAACTGTGTTCCAGATGAGGTCGACCTATTTTCTTTAGTTTCGTCAATCTTAGCAAGGTGGACTCATTTTTGTTTGATTTTTGCTTCGGCTTGCAAAAATAGGTCGACCTATTTACAATCAGGTCGACATATAATGTTTGGTTTCATAATAGTAGCAAATTGAATAATTTTTTGATGGTTTTTGCTTCTGCTTGCAAACAAAGGCCGACCTAGTTTGGTTTGAGGTTGATGATGATCTTTAGTTTCGTCGATTTATGCAGAAGTTATAGCAATTTTCAGATTCCGTTTGCAAAAAAAGGTCGACCTTGTTCCAGATGAGGTCGACCTATTTCCTTTGGTTTCGTCAATGTTAGCAAGGTGGACTAATTTTTATTTGATTCTTGCTTCTGCTTGAAAAAATAGGTCGGCCTATTTACAGTCAGGCCGACCTATAATGTTTGGTTTCGCGATATTAGCAAATTGGAATAATTTTTTTATGGTTTTTGCTTCTGCATGCAAGCAAAGGTCGAACTAGTTTGTTTGAGGTTGACCAATGATATTTAATTTTGTCGATGCATGCAACGTCTGTTTGGTTTTGTCATTTGGCTAACGTGAATTGTCGTTTATTTGATCTTAGGACGTTTTGAGGAAAGAAGAAAAGAGAGTTAGAGAAATCGGTTGTCTCAAGTTCCGAATGGAAAGAGTTCAACCAACTCTGTTCCAGACCAAGGAGCAAAGTGACAAATATGAAAAGAGGAGAATGCACAACCGCAGGGTGGCTCCTAGAAGGCCATTGACGACTGATTCATATGCTCATTCCGAAGATTACGGGTTCCTGGCACCATTTGTGGAACAAGATTGGCTGAATGTGATATCTCTCGATGTACCATACTACCAAAAAATGGTACAGTACTTCTACAACAACATCGTCTTTCAACGTTCTGCAGATGGATCGATTCATGCTTTTAAGGCTATGTGAATGGGGTGGAGATGCGTATCAGCAAGAGTGTGTTGGCAGCCGTACTATAGACTCCAAACCAGGAGAAGAGAAACGATTCTTACAATGCTTGGAATGAAAATTATTTCTCGAGAGCCAGACAAATTCAGACTATATGTGGTCTTGCTGAAAAGGAAGATATTGAGGATCGCAGTAGGCCAACTATTCGCCAGCTGACAGTTCAAGCCGGAGTTCTTCACCACATGCTCTCCTACAAGATTTTCTAAAGGATGGACATCGAGAGGCAGTCACCTACTTTGACATGGAGCTCCTCACCAACCTACTTTCACATGACAAGGTGAACTTGCCATACTTGATCTTTAAACACATGCTTGTTGTTACAAAGAGTTCAAACAGGAATCTTCCCTATGGGATAATCCTGACTTTGCTATTTGAGCATTTTAGAGTGAATTTAAGTGAAGAGGTTGGCTTAAGAGTAACAAGACAGAAGTTTTAGACAATTACTTCCTGAAGAAGATGAGATTTGAGATGCATGATGGTGTGTATGTCTGAGGATAGAATCCTCATGTAGTACATCATGATGATGATGAGCCCGGAGACGAGACAATGGCGCAACCACATAGTTCAGCTCTACCAGTCACCCTCGATCATTTATGGGAACACATGAATGGCATGTACGTCTACATGGGGCAGATATCCACTCAGATGATTGGCATGTACGACTACATGGGGCAGATGACCAGCTAGTTGAGCAAACTACAGGTGACTATAACAGAGATGCGAGATGAGTTCCAATCTTTCAGTGAAAGATACATACATCCCACCACTTTTGATCTATGTTTCGCGTGAAGGGGATGGATTAATGGATAATACTTCAGACTTTTGATCTGGTTGACCCCTTGTTGTAAATGGTCGACCATTTGGGTAATGACTGTCATCAAGTGGTCGATCTTCTTACGTTTACAAGCCACCATTTTGCTTATGATATTGAAAGGTCGACCGAATTTTTATTATGGTTGACCATTAAGGTATAACTAACTTAAAACAGTCGACCACTATAAATTAATGGTCGACCGTGATGCTTCATCAGAGTGACCACGATAGTGAATTAGGTCGATCGCATTTAGGCATAGGTCGACCGAATTGTGCAAGTTATAATGACTTGCAAGGTACCATAGACATACCTTTTTTTAATATGATTGTCACAATGCTTGCAGTTTTAGAACACATTTTTTTATGAACACACATTTAGAGGTGCGAAATGGATGTATTCATGAATAGCTTAATTGGATTGGTTTAATGGTGAATTCATTAATTTGATTAAATGTATTGGTGGATTCATGGATCCAAGTTCTATGTAAATCTTGGACCATTATAAAATCATGAAAATTTTAGGTACTATAATGTCATTATAAGAATGAAGGCACCAAAATGTCTTTTCTAAACATATTTTCATTACAAAATGAGAATAAACTATATATATATAGTAAAGTATAATTTTTCGACAATTCATTATCCAATTCATGCTACCAATTCATATGATTGAATTAAATGAATTGGATTTTTGGTGGATGAATTGGATTAAATTCAAATTGTCACCTCTACACACGATATATATGTAATTGTTTAGCTCCTATTGTTTAATTGAGATGGTTATCTTTGTTTTGTACCAAATTTATTAAAAAAAAAATTGCATTGAAGAAAAGAGCAGAAATTGTCCATTAATTCCTTTTAATTACCAACATCACAATCACAAATACAAAACGTTATAAATAGGGTTCATGCCACATTTGATCACTGTGATTACTAAAATGAGTCATGTTTAGTCACTAGAAAAAGTTAATATCAAATTTGGTCACTCTAATTATTAAAACAGGTCATATTTAGTCACTCTATGTTAGTCTCCGTCCAACTCCGTTAATGGAGTCCGTTATGTGTTGACGTGGCTAACGGGAGCGCCTAGTCAGCGCCACTTTGACCCGAAAAAGGTCAAACCCGACCCGCCACGTCACTAAACCCGCCATGTCATACAACCAACCCAAACCATTAACCCAGCCTAATTTATTATATATTCTCTTCAGCCACTCCGCCATAAACCCACCTTCACAGCATCTCAGTTCAACAAATTCCCCGCCATGGCATATGTCTCAGAAACCTTTCTCGCGTCACTCTTCCTCCATAGCTTTCAGCTTGCATTCCCATTTCCTCATCTCCAGCGACCTCAGCTCCAACTGGGTTCTCTGATTTCAAAATCCCGACCCCCTTTGTCGCCTTAGATCCATTTTTGCTCACTCCCTACCAATTTTTTTAGACTAATTTAGGTTTTCCATCAAATTCTTTTAGAAATGGGCGTCAAGGAATTCGAACGAGGGCAGAATTGATTCCATCATCGTCGGCTGCTCGACCCACCCGCTGAACCTAATAAAGGTCTGAATGCAGATGTAGGGCGATAGCTTGGCTGCTCCCAACCCTGTCCTCCGCCCGGCCTTCGCTTTCAACATTGGCGGTGCCATTTCCGCCATCCACATGACTGCCGCTCCACGCCCGTCTGTGGGTCCCGTCACCGTCGGGATGAACATCCTCCGCCAGGAAGGAGCGGCGACGCTGTTCTCCAGCGTCTCCGCCACCGTCCTCCGGCAGACCCTCTACTCCACCACCCGCATGGGCCTCTACGACGTGCTGAAGACGAAGGGGACCAATCCGGAGACGGAAAACATGCCGCTGGTTAGGAAAATCACGGTCGGGCTCATCGCCGGCGGAAGGAGAAAGGGTTTGGTTTGAAAATGTCCACTAACCCGCTGGATTTTCCAATTTTGTTTTGTTAGGTGGATTAGGGCTTGGTTTTGGGTTGGGTTAATGGTTTGGGTTGGTTTGGGTTAAGTGTATGACATGACAAGTTTAGTGACGTGGTGGGTCGGGTTTGACCATTTTCGTGGCGCTGACTAGGCGCTCCCATTAGCCACATCAGCACATAACAGACTCTAGAGAGTTGGACGTAGACTAACGGAGAGTGACTAAATATGACATGTTTTAGTAATTAGAGTGACCCAATTTGATATTAACTTTTTCTAGTGAGTAAACATGACTCAATTTAATAATTACAGTGACCAAACGTCGCATTAACCCGTTATAAATATATAATATCTCATATTCATTAATGGGTCATTGATCATAATGTATCAACCAAAATGAGAGAACCATAATCGGATTAATTCCCTAAATACAATAATAATTAAAAATAATTTCCAGAATCCATAACTTTTATAAAAAATTCCCAAACTACCAAAGTTTGACACAGTTCGAGTTCAACAAACTCGAACTAGTACCAGATCGACTGCCAACAAATCGATCCACGTGCATCGAGGAAGAAGATAGAAAGTAAAAGAGCTGCCAGAATGTGCTAAGTGATGGCTTTTTATCCTCGTAAACTGATGCAGTGGTTCGAGTCCAACAAACTCGAACTACAGTAGTTCGAGTCCATTAAACTCGATCTAGGGCAACCAATAATTTTACCCCTGCACCCTATTCTGGAGCATGTCGGACCGAAAGCGACTGGACAGAATGATTGAGCAGTGGTTCGAGTTTAGTGTAATCGAACTACACTAGTTCGAGTCCCTAGAACTCGATCTATGACAACAAATAATCTTATCCCTACAACCCTATCCTGAAGCACGTCGGTTGACCAGTCGTTCAAGGCCATAAGAATTGATTTATATGGTTCGAGTTTTAAGGCATCGATCTTGTGCAGATATGGATCGAGAATTCTAAAGTCGTTTTACTAGATCGAGTTTTTTTGGCATCGATCTGGCTCGATCGAGTTGTCCAAACTCGAACTACTATGATCGAGTTCTTTGTCATCGATCTACTGACACGCCAAAACACAACACCAAACTGCGACCAAGTGTAATCGCAGTCCGGGAATGCAGTAACAGGCAAGTTCTATTATCAACCCGGGGTCTAGATCTACTGCTTACTCCGTGATTATCTATTATCTAGCCAACTAAGTCGAGTGATTTGTGATTAAAGCAAAAGCAGTAAGAAAGCAGGAAATGATTCGGTTTTCTAAAGCAGGAAAGAGTCACTTGGGAATGAGTCCCCCTAGCTCCTTAGTTAGGTTCAATTGTAATTACCCTGGGTTGATTTACTGTTGATTAGACTGCGGAAGATTCGACAGTAGCTTGGAATCTCTTAAGCTAACCAAGCCCTCTCAGTTTAACTACCACGCAGACGACTAGTCTTCACCGGGATAGAAAGTTGAAGCAATAAGCACAGAGCTCCACTACTGGAATTGAATTCCAGTACAAAGCAGTAAACTGGCTAACTCTCGTATAACCAATCTCCTGCTATCGAATGAAGAGGCTCTAACAACCTAATCAGATTCTATTTATCTCAGGTTGCAGCAGAAATCAAAAAAGCTGATCAGACTTCAATCAATTCAATAAACATGCATCATTCGATTAAAACCAAACAGTATAATCATCCCAAGTCATTACAATCGAATCCCTAACACAAGGAACTAGGTTTCTTCATACCCAAGTGAGAGAAGGGTTCTACTCCATAGAGAGAGAAAGGAAAACAGAAATCAGAGTAGTCACACTCATAAAGATGAGGAAAATCTGCTATGGGATGTCAATCTTCACTCCTAGGGACGCAATCTGGGCTTCAATGGTGAGAAATCCACTCCAAATAGCTCCTAGGGTTTGTTCTTCGCTCTTTCTCTCTCTAAAACTCTGTTTTTGCTCTAAAAACTCGAATCCTCTTCCTTGGCTCGAATCTGCCTCCAAAAACCCGATTGTGGGCGAAATACGGGCAGAATTACGGCCGTAATCACGGCCTGCCCGTAAATCGCCCAAAACTCGCGTTTCACTTTACTCTGATGGAGGAGGAGTTACGCCCGTAATTTCACAATTACCGCCAGTATTTCATTAATTACGGTCGTAATTTGGTGGATGCTTGCCCGTAATTTTACTGCCGAGAGGAATTCTTGGGAAAATAGGCTCGGCATTGCTTTTACGGGCATGCCCTGACCAATTACGGTCGTAATTTGGCAGGGGCTGCCCGTAATTTGTCCTGTGAATCGCCACCTGACCTTCAAATGACCCGAAACTTGCGCCTATGCACCTCTTTACTTGCTAGGACCTGAAATACCACAAAACAACACAACCTAGCGTAAAATAGGCCAAGGAACAATCAATTCGAGCTAAAATGGATAGGAAACCAGAGTGAAAACACGTGCAAATACGATGCTATCAAATTCCCCCCCACTTAACTGTTTGCTTGTCCCCAAGCAAACCAAGTCAGACACAAGGTAAGCTCACATATTTCAATCAACCAACATTGGGGACAAGTCATAAAGGCACAGAACAAGTGAATCGTACTGGTTTTCAAATATCAACACATGAACAACTTCAATAGCAACCTGGACAACCACCACAAAGGACATTCGAGTGCAGCAAAATCGAGCAACGGAAGAGTCTCCCTTCTGTTCACCAACCAACCCAGACTTGACTCAACCACTCACTCAAAACAGTCAACTCATGCATCCAACTCAAGACATCAGAATAGAGACCGAGCAATCTAGGTCCTCACCGGGGTACAAGAGTATAAAGAATATGAAAATGAATCACTCACTCTCGACCAGTGGGGTCAGGACAATTTAATGCGAAAAATGCGCATGCTATTTCTCTCAATCCCTAACATCTCTTCACCATGATGGCAGCCTCTAAATGCTAGAGTTCACATATGGGGTGTCACCACTAACTAATCCGGAGGTCTTAGACACAGGTTCAAATGACTGGCTAGGGTCTTGGATATGGGGAAAAGGCCTTTTAGGTGGTGGAAGTGTTCATAGCACAAGGTTCCACATTTCCAAACCCACACAATCACAGTCAAACAAACCGGTATTTCCTTTCTGCTATTCTGCATTACTCAATATCTCAAGAGCACAAGAGCGAGGGAAGTATAAATATTAGCATTTCCAAGCCAGACTGCTAAGAAACACTACTTAATGGGCATTATTCAGATTTTTGGCAGTGGCTCTCTTTTGCTTTCAATTTTTCTTAGTTTTTCTTTCATTTTCTTTTCATTTCTTAAGAAAGCCACCACTTCTGCACATATTTCCAACACATGCCCAACTTTTACGCACTACCTCCGACACTCACATTAAATTTAGCAGAAACAACAGAGAATATGTAAAAACCACTCTGTGGAACCTTCTAAAAGATGCAAAAGGGTGATTTTTCATTGTAGACCGAAAGAAAGGATAACACACGGCTCAAAGGGGCTGACTAGGGGATATGACACATCAGTACAGTCAATTTGGTCGTGGGCTAATCCTATGCCCCCATCATCTTAGCTAGTGACAACGTGAATGCTACACATCATGGAAGAGGGATCTATCGCACAAGAAAGAAACGAGCAGGCTCAAATCTCACATGGCTACCTATATGCTCTATCTCACATTCTGATACCCTGAACTAGATGCATAAACGACTGTCAAGAACAAGTAATCAATCGAAGTCACAGTTGGTAAGCAAACAGTTGAAAAACTGAACCCCTACAAAATTCTACTGCACGTCTCAGTCCTCATCATAGGTTGTCCTAGTCACAATCAAGCTGTCATGCGTCAATCCGAAAACCATTCAATTCATGAATCAAAACACAGTGCCAATATGATCAAACAACAGTACTTGGAACCCTCAAATCGTAAGATTCGGACAGTGGACTATGCTCTAAGCACCCTTATATACGTTCCAATAGATACAAAGAACCCCCCACACTTAGATGCGACAGTGTCCTCAATGGAGCAGAGGGAAGGGGAACGATGTTACCGTGAAACAGAGGTCAGGAACGTTGACTGGATGGCGGACCAGTCAATAGCAGAGGACTGGACAAGGACCAGTCCAACGGGCACAGAGCTAGAGGCAACAAAACACACACATTGGGTGAAAGAAATCATAGTTCCAAGTCTACAATCCACACAACTGGAACAAGAAAAAGAACCAAACACAATACGGAGTCTAAGTCTGGAAAGAAAGATAAAAATAGAGCCCAACTCGATGGGCTAGCAGTGCCAGCTCAGTGCTCATCGCCTCCATCGCCAGCTGGAGGCGGGTAGTAGTCCTCATGCCCCGGGGACGCCTCCAAGGGTAGCTCACAGCAGCAGGATCCATGTCCCAGTAGCTCATCATGTAATGCTGAGCTGAAATGATGCGGCGGCGACCTTCGCGCTCACGGTCGAGGCGGGTGTTGAGGTGCTCCTGGCCAGCAAGGATCTGCTCATTCTGGCGGGAAATGGCCGCCAGCTGCTCGGCAATGTAAGTGGTGGGTGCTGCAGCAGACGGGCCGGCAGCGAAGGTGGAGGTGCCAGGCGCAGAAGGAGTGGTCCGACGATTCGTCCGACGAGTGGTCCGACGGGCTGCAGCATCACTCGCCTCGGGGATCTCCTCACCCTCTGGTGCACGAGGAACAGGGCAAGGAAGGCCCTGGATCCAGATCACGTCCCCGTCTCGCTGCAGTATCAGCTGGCGCCGTAGGGTGTCCCTTGAGAAGGGCGTCGCGGGCTGGATGACAGTGAACCCGGAGAGGTTAATGTTGTAGTACCGTGCCAGGGCAGTGACCACCGGCCCACACGCCAGGGCTCGACCACACCGAGAAGCCTTGACGATAGTCCTGGCGATGAGAGAGGACAGATGGAGGTTGTCCACCTCCTGGCTGATGGAGTGCAGGCAATGCAAGGTGCGAAGCTGAAGATGACTGGTGGAGCCCTTGCTGGGGGTGTA